TGACATTCTACGCATGATGGCCGACATGGAGCGAGTCGAGCGGGAGCTGCTGGTTGACCCAGCTTTTTTCACCGCCCTGCCAAGTCGCCTACCAGGGTTAGTCGAGCACGTCGAGATTCTGCCCAAGAAGATGAAAGCGACCAACGAGCTGAGCTGCTATCGATACGCAGTTGTGGTCTATGTCAGGGCCCGAGGCCAGCCAGGGCAGGACATTCACTACATTAAACAAGACAAATGGATTAACTTTGCAGAGCGCAAACTAGACCGCCAGTCCCTCCTAGAGCAGTTGCACAGTTCCTCCGCTTTATCTCTCATTACAGTGAGCAACATCCCTTACAGCAAGACTATTGTAAGCCGCTGCCTTCTCGCCTCGCTGGACAATGCGGCATCAGAGACAACAGCTCAGCAGGACTGGCTTTCCTCTGTGCACAAGGAAGCACAGCATGTCCCCGCCCTTTCAGCGACTGACTTGGTAGACCTTGCTGAAGAAGCCGGCTACCAGGTTGAGATCAGCTGGAGTAGGCAGCACTTGTGGAAAGGTGGTCTGGACGCCATCTTTCACCGGTATAAGCCCCAGCATGGAGGGAAGAGGGTGATGTTCCGATTCCCTAACGATGACGCGGATCGACCGCTGCACAGTCTCACCAGCAGGCCGTTACAGCACCAATTCCTGCAGAAAACCCAACAGCAGTTGCAGGAGATGCTTGAGGCCCAGCTTCCTACGTACATGGTTCCTCAGAGCATTACTGTCCTGGAGTCAATGCCAATCAACCACAACGGCAAAGTCGACCGCAAGATGCTCGCGCAACAAAAGCAAAAAGTAACATTTAATCAAGAGATTGAGCGCCCGCAGGAACTGTCAACGACACAACGCAGGATGCAACAATTGTGGGCTAGCGTGCTGGGTATCGAAGCGCAGAGAATTAGCCTAGATGACAGCTTCTTCCGCCTTGGCGGCGACTCGATCGCGGCCATGAAGCTGGTCAGTGAAGCTCGTAGGATGGAGATGCAGCTCAGCGTTGCAGACATCTTCCGTAATCCTACACTCGCGGACCTGGCTGCCTTAGACTACAGCCACAGTGGCAGTACTGCCGAAGACATCCTTCCATTTTCTCTACTAGGCGAAGAGGTGGACGTGGCCAGAGTCCGCGAAGAAGCGGCCGTCAGCTGCAGCGTTGATGTCGGCCTCGTCGAGGACTTATACCCATGCTCGCCGTTGCAGGAAGGGCTAGTGTCGCTGACATCCAAGCGAGCAGGCGACTACATCATGCAGGGCGTCCTAGAGCTGCGGGCTGAGATGGACGAAGAGGCTTTCCGAGCTGCCTGGGAGCACATCTTCCGCTCAATGGCAGTGTTGCGTACGCGGATCGTGCAGAACAGCAATCTTGGCTTGCTACAGGCTGTGATATCAGAGGACATCCAGTGGCTCAAGGCAGAAGGTCTTGAGGAGTACCTTGAGAAAGACAAGTCAGTGTCCATGGGGCTCGGTGATCCCTTGACGCGCTACGCCATTGTCACCGAAGCGAAAGGAGAGAAGCGCTGGGTGGTGTGGACAGTTCACCACGCGTTGTACGACGGCTGGTCACTGCCTCGAATCGTAGATGCGGTAACCAAGGCGTACACCAACGGCATGGTAGAACAGCAACCTGGTTTTCACGCTTTTATCAAGTATCTCAACCAGCAAGACCGGGAGGTCGCAGTGCTGTACTGGAAGAACGCTCTCCATGACTGCCAGGGGGCACTGTTTCCCCCGCTGCCGTCAGCAGTGCAGCAGCCTGTTGCGGATGCTATGATGGACTATCAATGCCCTCCACTTCCCAAAGCACCCTCTGACACGACGACATCAACGCTTGTCCGCGCCGCCTGGGCCATCATCACCAGCCGATACACGAATTCGGATGATGTGGTGTTCGGCACTACAGTCACTGGACGCAATGCCCCTGTTGCTGGCATTGAAGCCATGATTGGGCCTACTATCGCAACGGTACCGGTGCGAGTGCAAGTGGCAGGCGATCAGTCTGTATCCGCCTTCCTTCAGAGGTTGCAGCAGCAGGCGACGGACATGATCCCATATGAGCAGACGGGACTGCAACGGATTGCCAAGATGTCGGCAGGTGCGCAGCATGCCTGCCGCTTCCAGACGCTGCTGGTTGTGCAGCCTACAAGCGATGCTCCTGGCAGCGATCGGGTACTAGGAGAGTGGCGTGGTCGCTCCGAGCTGCGGGACTTCTCGACTTATGGGCTAATGCTGCAGTGCACGCTTGCGGCAGACGGGATACGCATCACAGCTAGCTTCGACAGGCGGGTAGTGGAGGAGTGGCTTGTCAAGAAGATATTGTGCCAGTTCAGCTTCATCATGGAACAGTTGGCCAGAGCACAGCCGGAAGCCAAGGTAGCTGAAATGGACCCGCTCACGCCTGAGGAGAGAACGGAGCTGTGGGCGTGGAACTGCGAAACGCCAGCAGCGGTCGAACGGTGCATTCACGATCTGTTCACAGAGGAGGCAAGGACGCGGCCCGATGCGCCTGCCGTCTGTGCGTGGGATGGCGAGCTGACATACGGCGAGCTGGATGCGTTGTCCACCCGACTGGCAAGCCACCTCGTAGGGTTGGGTGTCAAGCTAGAAGACATTGTCCCGCTGTGCTTCGAGAAGTCCATGTGGACCGTGGTCGCGATGCTGGCGGTACTCAAGGCCGGTGGAGCATTTGTATCGCTGGATCCAAGCCATCCCGTCAGCCGCCACGAAGAGATCTTCAAGCAGACAAGGGCTACAGTAGTACTCGCATCAACACAATGCTCCATGCTTTGGAAATCTACAGGCCCTGCTGTCTTCTCAGTCAGCAAATCAGCCATAAATAAGCTGCCTTTACAGAGCGACGAAATTCATGCTACAGTAACAGCCAAAAATGCTGCGTATGTCATCTTCACATCTGGCAGTACTGGAATACCCAAGGGCGTTGTCCTGGAGCACAGAGCGCTCTCTACGAGTTCCTTGGGCCACGGCAAAGCGTTGGGATTCACTCCGTATACTCGAGCTCTTCAGTTCGCCTCGTACACCTTCGATGCTTGCATCGCCGAGATTATTACTACACTGGTCTTTGGGGGATGTGTGTGCGTCCCTTCGGAGGATGACCGTCGCAACAATTTAGCCAAGACTATCAATGCCATGGATGTGAACTGGGCGTTGCTTACTCCATCTGTGGCACGATTACTAGAACCACAATCCATTCTGACGCTCACGACGTTGCTCCTCGGAGGTGAAGCCGTCAGCTACGGAGATCGTCTCAGATGGCCAGATCTGAAGCTTGCGAGTGCGTATGGCCCTGCTGAGTGCTGCATTATGTGCACTGCGCATATGGTCAGCCAAGACTACGTATCGGGCACTATTGGAAAATCTATCGCCTCCGTAAGTTGGGTAGTAGACCAAAAAGACCACAACAGACTGGCCCCCATAGGGTCGATTGGAGAGCTCCTGATTGAAGGGCCGATCCTTGCGCGATGCTATCTCGATGATGCGGAGAAGACGACGGCGGCTTTTGTCAACGATCCCGCCTGGCTGCTGGAGGGCGGGGTAGGCCATCCTGGGAGGCAAGGCAGGATGTACAAGACGGGAGACTTGGTCTACTACGGACCTGACGGTAGTCTCGTCTATGTAGGCCGCAAAGACGAGCAAGTCAAGGTGCGAGGCCAGCGAGTCGAGCTCGGCGAGATTGAACACCACCTGCGAGAGTGCATGCCTGAGGCCAAGCTGACGACAGTGGAGGTCATCTTCCTCAAGGGCCAGAATCAAAATGCGATGCTGGCTGCCTTCCTGCAGTTAGACGTTGAGATGGAGAGTGCACTTTTGACGGACAAGGAAACTGAGACTAGTTCGCTGGCGCGCGTCATCTTACCGGTGGAAGCACAGAAGCTGGCGGACCGGCTGCCGAGCTACATGGTACCGGACGTGTACTTCGCCGTTGCACAGCTGCCGATGACGGTGTCCGGAAAGACGGACAGGAAACGACTGCGGGAGATCGGGGGGTCGTTCTCAGCCCAGCAGCTGGCGGAGATGCGGACATCAAGTCAGGGACCGAAACGACTGCCATCGACCGAGGCAGAGAAGGCGATGCAGCAGCTGTGGGTGCGGGTGCTGGGAATTGAGTCGGAGAGTATTGGTCTGGACGACAGCTTCTTCCGCCTTGGTGGTGACTCGATCGAAGCCATGAAGCTAGTCGGCGAAGCTCGCAGGATGGAGATGCAGCTCAGTGTTGCAGACATCTTCCGTAATCCTACACTCGCGGACCTGGCTGCCTTAGACTGCAGCCACAGTGGCAGTACTGCCGAAGACATCCTTCCCTTTTCTCTACTAGGCGAAGAGGTGGACGTGGCCAGCGTCCGCGAAGAAGCGGCCGTCAGCTGCAGCGTTGACGTTGGCCTCGTTGAGGACTTGTACCCATGCTCGCCGCTGCAGGAAGGGCTGGTGTCGCTGACATCCAAGCGAGCAGGCGACTACATCATGCAGGGCGTCCTAGAGATGAGGGCTGAGATTGACGAAGAGGCTTTCCGAGCTTCCTGGGAGCACGTCTTCCGCTCAATGGCAGTGTTGCGTACGCGGATCGTGCAGAACAGCAATCTTGGCTTGCTACAGGCTGTGATATCAGAGGACATCCAGTGGCTCAAGGCAGAAGGTCTTGAGGAGTACCTTGAGAAAGACAAGTCAGTGTCCATGGGGCTCGGTGATCCCTTGACGCGCTACGCCATTGTCACCGAAGCGAAAGGAGAGAATCGCTGGGTGGTGTGGACAGTTCACCACGCGTTGTACGACGGCTGGTCACTGCCTCGAATCATGAATGCGGTAACCAAGGCGTACACAGACGGCATGGTAGAACAGCTGCCTGGTTTTCACGCCTTCATCAAGTATCTCACCCAGCAAGACCAGGAGGTCGCGGCGCTGTATTGGAAGGACGCTCTCCATGACTGCCAGGCGACACTATTTCCCCCGCTGCCGTCAGCAGTGCAGCAGCCTGTTGCGGATGCTATGATGGACTACCAATGCCCTCCGCTGCCCAAAGCACCCTCTGACACGACGACATCGACGCTTGTCCGCGCCGCCTGGGCTATCATCGCTAGTCGATATACTAACTCGGATGATGTGGTGTTCGGCACTACAGTCACTGGACGCAATGCCCCTGTTGCTGGCATTGAAGCCATGATTGGGCCTACTATCGCAACGGTACCGGTGCGAGTGCGAGTGGCAGGCGATCAGACTGTATCTGCCTTTCTCCAGAGATTGCAGCAGCAGGCGACGGACATGATCCCGTACGAGCAGACGGGACTGCAACGGATTGCCAAGATGTCGGCAGGTGCGCAGCATGCCTGCCGCTTCCAGACTCTGCTGGCTGTGCAGCCTGCAAGTGATGCTCCTGGCAGCGATCGGGTACTAGGAGAGTGGCGTGGCCGCTCTGAGCTACAGGACTTCTCGACTTATGGGCTAATGCTGCAGTGCACGCTAGCAGCAGACGGGATACGCATCACAGCAAGCTTTGACAAGCGGGTAGTGGAGGAGTGGCTGGTCAAGAAGATATTGAGCCAGTTCAGCTTCATCATGCAACAGTTGGCCAGAGCACAACTTGAAGACAAGGTGGCTGACATGGACCCGCTCACTCCTGAGGAGAGAACAGAGCTATGGGTGTGGAACCGCGAAACGCCAGCAGCGGTCGAACGGTGCATTCACGACCTGTTCGCAGAGCAGGTCCGGGATCAGCCCGATGCGCCCGCCATCTGCTCGTGGGACGGCGAGATGACATACAGCGAGCTGGATGCGCTGTCCACTCGACTGGCTAGCCATCTTGTTGGGCTCGGTGTCAAGTCAGAAGACATTGTGCCACTGTGCTTTGAGAAGTCCATGTGGACCGTGGTTGCGATGCTAGCGGTGCTCAAGGCGGGCGGAGCATTTCTCCTTCTTGATTCATCTTTGCCCCACGAACGTCTCAAGTTGATGTGTAGCAGAGTGGCTAGTACACTTGCCCTGGCATCTCAAGCCGCGGCACCGGCTGTGGAAAGTTTGGTCAGAGCTGTCGTGATTGTCAATGAAGATTCAATAGCGCCTCTCGTTCGACACGCTTCTCAGACCGCCATAGTACAGCCTACAGATACGGCCTATGTTATCTTTACCTCTGGAAGCACGGGAGAACCAAAGGGATGCAGAATTGAGCATCGGTCAGCGTGCTCCGCTATGGTACACCACGGCCGACACGTTGGAATGCACCACAAGACTCGTACGCTCCAGTTTGGATCATATTCTTTTGCTGGGTCGTTGGCCGAAATTCTTCTATCTCTTACCTATGGAGGCTGTGTCTGCATCCCGACAGACGAGGAGAGGGCCAGTAATCTAGCCTCATCTATCTCTAGGATGAAAATCAACTGGGCATTCCTTACTTCAACTGCCCTGGCTCTCCTTAGCCCTGAGGCAGTCCCATCATTAACTACTCTATGCGTAGGCGGAGAACCAATACGCATCTCTCAAATAGCACAATGGGAAGCCTCGGTGTACCTGCGGCAAACATATGGAAGTAGCGAGACATCTGGTTTTGTCTCATCAATAAGACTGAATAGTACGTCCTCGACTAGGGATGTAGGCCGAGCCAGCACGGGTATTTACTGGATTGTGGATCCGAATGACCACAGCAAGCTTGCTCCAATAGGAGCTATTGGCGAGGTGCTTATTGAAGGAGCCATACTTGGCCGGGAGTACATGGACCAGCCAGACAAGACAGCCGCTACTTTCATTAAGGCTCCAGCGTGGAGAGGCTCCTTTGGAGCAAATTTAAGTCACCCACGTCTCTACAAGACAGGAGACCTGGCGAGATACAAGCAAGACGGGTCAATTGAACTGCTTGGGCGAAAGGACAACCAAGTGAAGCTGCGCGGGCAGCGTATTGAACTAGAGGAGATAGAGCATCAAGCCCAGCTTGCGAGCACGGATGTGAAGCAGATTGCAGTCGGGCTTATCCGACCTAAGGAGGACGAAGATGGTATGCTGGCCTGTTTCATAGTCGACGATAGCACAGATCGCCCAGCCCACGAGGATGAAGAACACGCTACGCCACCAACGCATACACAGAGCGTCATACAAGCAATACAGGCTAGGCTAGAGCAATGGCTACCACAGTACATGGTACCCTCCGTATTCATTCCGGTACTAGGTTTGCCGGCGACCTCATCAGGGAAGATTGACAGGAAGCGATTGCAGGAGATTGGAGCCTCGTTCTCGGCCCAACAGCTAGCAAAGATGCGGGCATTAAGCCAAGGGCCAAAGCGGCTGCCATCGACGCAGACGGAGCAAACAATGCAGCAGCTGTGGGCGCAGGCGCTGCACATCAAGCCCCAGAGTATTGGCCTGGACGATAGCTTCTTCCGCCTCGGCGGCGACTCGATCGCGGCCATGAAGCTAGTCGGCGAAGCTCGAAGGATGGGAATGCACCTGAGCGTGGCTGACATATTCCGCACTCCGCGGCTGGATCAGTTGGCCTCTGCAGCCACTGCTTCAACTCACAACTCCCTTACCACAATCCCGCACGATGATCATGTTAGGCCCGTAGAGCCATCGTTTGCGCAAGGCCGACTATGGTTCTTAGAGCAACTGTATCCTGGCTTGAACTGGTACCTCGTGCCGTTCGCTGTGCGCATCAGGGGCCCGCTTCATCTGGCAGCGCTCAACGCCGCCGTTAATGCAATCGAGAGTCGCCACGAGACGCTCCGAACAACCTTCGCTACTAATGGTGGTGTCAGTGTGCAGATAGTTCAGCCCTTCCACCCCAAAGAACTCAACGTCGTCGACATTCTCCCAGACAATCAACTGGGTCTTGCAGATGCCGTGCAGCAGGACCAGACAACTCCCTTCGACCTGCGCACTGAGCCCGGATGGAGAGTATCAGTCTACCGGGCCAACGAGCATGATCATGCACTGTCCATTGTCATGCATCACATCGTCTCCGACGGCTGGTCTGTCGATGTGCTTATGCATGAACTGGCTGCGTTCTACTCCGCCGCGATGCGCAGCCAGGACCCGCTATCCCACGTGCAACCTCTGCCCATCCAGTACCGAGACTTCTCTGTGTGGCAGAGGCAACAATCCCAGGTCGACGAGCACCAGAGACAGCTTAGCTACTGGCTGACCCAGCTCCAGGGAAGCCGACCGGCAGAGCTGATCTGTGATAAGCCCAGACCCGCGACTCTGTCTGGCAAAGCCGATATGCGAACTCTGGAGATCAGCGGCCGGCTGTATGCAAATCTGCAGGAGTTCTGCAAAGCGCACGGGGTGACTCTATTCGTGACTCTGCTCGCTGCCTTTAGAGCTACGCACTTCCGCCTCACAGGCCAGGATGATGCCACCATTGGCACTGCGAATGCAAATCGGGATCGGTGGGAGGTTAAAGACATTATTGGATTCTTTGTTAACATGCAGTGTCTTCGGATCACAATTCATGACGAGAGTTTTGAAGAGCTAGTTCAACAGGTCCATGCTGTAGCGGTTGCATCGCTTGCTAACCAGGACGTGCCGTTCGAGAGCATTGTCTCGCAACTCAAGCAGGACAGAGATCTGTCTCGTCACCCACTCGCCCAGCTTGTCTTTTCGGTGCACTCTCAACAAAACCTGGGACAACTTGTGCTGGAAGGCATGGAAACAGAAGCCATGCACGGCGCAGCAACCTCAAGGTTTGACCTTGAGTTCCACTTCTATCCTCAGACCAATGGCCTCCATGGTAACGTTGTCTTCTCAACGGACCTCTATGCGCCTGAGACAATTGACAACATGCTGTCACTCTTCCACAATGTCCTCCAAGTGTGCCTAAGGGACCCGAAGGCGGTGGTTGCATCCTTGCCGTTGTTGACCAACAGCGACTTCACCAAGCTCGATGCGATGGGACTCGTTCAGGTCAAGCAGACTAATTACCCGCGCGAGTTGAGCGTTGTTGACCTCTTTCGTCAGCACGTCTCTGCTCATCCGTCTAGGATCGCCGTCACAGACACTTCAGCGGAGATGAGCTATACTGAGCTGGATAGGGCATCAGAGCTTCTTGCTCGATGGCTGGTACAGCGCTCGTTCGCGCCTGAGAGTCTGGTCGGCGTGCTCGCAAGTCGAAGCTGCCAGACCATCGTCGCGTTCCTTGGCATTCTGAAGGCCAACCTAGCATACCTACCGTTCGACGTCAAAATACCAGGGAAACGTATGGAAGCTGTCCTTTCGTCCCTTCCAGGCCAGAGGGTCATCTTGCTTGGATCTAACGTACAGCCTCCGGAGGTGAAGCTGAGCAACGTCGAGTTCGTCCGCATTACCAAGGTCCTGAACGATCAGGCGAACGAGGAGTCTGCGGTGTATAGATTTGCTACGGCGGTCGGGCCATCAGCTACCAGCCTTGCTTATGTCATGTTTACCTCGGGATCGACCGGCCAGCCCAAGGGGGTTATGGTAGAGCATCGCGGCATTGTGCGTCTGGTTAGAGACAACAACCTCGTACAGCACCTACCAGCATCGCGAGTCATGGCTCACATGACAAATCTTGCCTTCGACGTCTCAACATGGGAGATTTATGCCTGTCTCCTGAACGGCGGAACGCTCGTCTGCATTGACGCAATGGTAGTGCTGGACCCAGAGGCTATGGTTCAGATATTCAATCAACGCGCCATTCGGATGGCCGTGCTCACACCAGCCTTGTTTAGACAGTACACTCTAGAGTCTTCTTCGATATTCGCCACGGTTGAAATGCTTTGTGTGGGGGGTGAAGCAATGTATCCGCGGGACTATTTTGCAGCAGAAAGAACCCTCACTGGTAAGCTTATTAATTGCTATGGTCCGACAGAGAACACAGGTATCAGCGCGACCTTTGTCCTGCACAAGGAGGAACAGTTCACCAACGGTGTGCCTATCGGCCGCGCGCTGAGCAACTCGGGCGCCCACGTCATGGATCCGGAGATGCGACTCGTGCCGCTAGGGGTCATCGGAGAGCTCGTGGTCACGGGTGACGGTCTAGCCCGGGGGTACACTGACCCACAGCGAGACATTGATAGGTTTGTTACCGTCACAGTCGCTGGCCGGAGGGTGAGAGCCTATCGAACAGGTGACTACGTCCGCCATCGCCCTACAGACGGTCTGCTGGAGTTCTTCGGCCGGATGGATGGACAGATCAAGATCCGGGGAAACCGTGTTGAGCTAGGAGAGATTGAGCACATCCTCCGCAGCCACAGCTCTGTCAGTGATGCAGTGACTGTGCTGCAACAGCACGATGACGACGAGGACCGGCTCGCGGGCTTTGTCACCATTCATGAAGGCGACGCCCTGGCCGAGGAGCAGGCTGGCGCTGGCCCCGAATTGCAGCATGTCGACGCATGGGAGGAGCAGTTCGATGCTGAGATCTACTCTCCAATCCACAACGTTCGACCCGAGACTATTGGACGCGATTTCATTGGATGGACGTCTATGTACGACGGCACGGATATAGCCAAGGAGGAGATGAACGAGTGGCTAGACGACACCATCACCACGCTGCTCGACGGTCAGGAGCCTGGGCACGTTCTAGAGATCGGATCAGGCACCGGCATGGTCCTATTCAACGTGCGCAAGGGCCTGCAGAGCTATGTCGGCCTAGAGCCATCTCAAAAGGCAGTCGACTTCATCACAGCAACCGTTAAGTCTATACCAGCACTGGCAGGAAGGGTGCACATGTATAAAGCCACAGCAGCAGACGTTGGCCATCTAGAACAGTTAATCGCTGCTAACCTTGTTGTCATGAACTCAGTTGTGCAGTACTTCCCCAGTCAGGACTATCTTTTCAAGCTTATACGAGACCTGCTTGCACTTAACGGCGTACGTACCCTCTTCTTTGGCGACATCCGGTCGTACGCGCTGTACCGCGAGTTCCTAGCTACCCGAGCGCTACGCATGGCCGGCGATAAGGCCACAAAGGCTGACATTCTACGCATGATGGCTGACATGGAACGAGTCGAGCGGGAGCTGCTGGTTGACCCAGCGTTTTTCACCGCCCTGCCAAGCCGCCTGCCAGGGCTAGTCGAGCACGTCGAGATCCTGCCCAAGAAGATGAAAGCAACCAACGAGCTAAGCTGCTATCGGTACGCAGTTGTGGTCCACGTTAGGACCCAAGGCCAGCAAGCGCAGGACATTCACTACATTAAACAAGACAGATGGATCAACTTTGCGGAACGCAAACTAGATCGCCAGTCTCTCCTAGAGCAACTGCACAGTTCCTCTACTGTATCTCTAGTTGCGGTTAGCAACATTCCTTACAGCAAGACCATTGTAAGCCGCTGCCTTGTCGCCTCGCTAGACAATGCGTCAGCAGAGACAACAGCTCAGCAGGACTGGCTGTCCTCCATTTACAAGGAAGCGGGACATGTCCCCGCCCTTTCTGTGACCGACTTAGTTGACCTTGCTAAAGAAACTGGCTACCAGGTTGAGATCAGCTGGAGTAGGCAGCACTCGCTGAAGGGTGGTCTGGACGCTGTCTTCCACCGGTATCAGCCCCAGAACGGCGGGAAGCGGGTGATGTTCCGGTTCCCTAACGATGATGCGGATCGACCGCTGCACAGTCTCACCAGCAGGCCGTTACGGCACCAATTCCTACAGAAAACCCAACAGCAGTTGCACAGGATGCTTGAGGACCAGCTGCCTACTTACATGGTTCCTCGTAGCATTACTGTCCTTGAGGCAATGCCGATCAACCAGAACGGCAAGGTCGACCGCAAGATGCTCGCGCAACGACAACAAAAAGAAACATTTCATCAAGAGATCGAGCGGCAGCAGGAGCTTTCAATGGCACAAAGCACGATGCAGCAATTGTGGGCTCGCGTGCTGGGCATCGAGCCGCACAGAATTGGGCTGAACGACAGCTTCTTCCGCCTAGGTGGGGACTCGATCGCGGCCATGAAGCTGGTTGGTGAAGCCCATCAGGAAGGCATCCATCTCACAGTCGCTGATGTATTCCGGCGGCCAAACCTTGAGCATCTCGTTTGTGCTGGTCAGGCCCTCGTGAGTCGGACTACAGAACCGATACCCCCTTTCTCTCTAATTTCTCCTGATGTTAAGCACGCAATTTTCTCAGGGACTATCTCTACTAACACGGGTGCACAATCTCAAACGATTATTGACATCCTTCCCGTTACCTACGCACAAAAAGTCTACATCACTCAAGGCATTGATCTTCCTCGCATAGCCTTCAATTACTTTTACATCGATATAGGACCACAGCTAGACGTGGATCTCCTCAGGCAAAGCTGTCGCAAACTCGTCGACCATTTCCCGATTCTGCGCACTCAATTTGCATACTTCCAGGGGCAATGGTGGCAGATTGTTCTCCAAAACCTCGAGTTGCCTTTCAGTACGTTTGACGTCGATCGACCCCTCCCAGAGGAATCGCACGCGATCTACATGCGGGATACCAATCAGGTAGACCCACTTGGGCTTCCTACATCATTTATGCTTGTGCGTAACAGGTCTAAGGAAAATCGGCTGATTGTTCGTCTGTCTCATGCCCAATACGACGGTGTTTGTTTTCCAATGATTCTGAGAACGCTTGCCTCTATCTACGAGCAGAAACCCTTGCTTCCTGCTATAGGCTTTCCAACTTATCTTGCACATGCCCGCAATCAACAGATCCTGTCCGGTCGTTATTGGCGCGAGCTTCTTCAAGGCTCGCACCTCACCCGGGCTACTGCTAGACTTCGCCCAGAGACACCAGAGGGAGCTATTCCTCGTACGATATCAGTGGAGAAGTCTATCTATGCTCCTTCCCTTCCTGGACACCTGACAATGGCATCCCTCGTTAGCTCCGCCTGGGCGATGGTCCTTTCAAGTATCACAGGAGAAGAAGATATTGTGTACGGACATGTGGTTGCTGGTCGCAACTCTGATATTCCAAATATCACGGAAATAGTTGGGCCTTGCTTGAACATAATTCCAGTTAGGGCCTTCACACTTCTTACCAGAACGTCAGAAGAACTCATCCACTCCGTCCAAGAGCAATACGTCTCCCTGGGGCAATCCGATTCCATGGGTTGGGACGATATCATCCGGCAATGTACAGACTGGCCTGCTGGATCGACGTTTGATTCGGTGATTCAGTACCAGAACATTGCTATCGATCCTGAAATCAATATCGCGGGAGCAACCTCGAGGGTTCAGTCGTTCAACAGTCCTTTTGGAGTGTCGCCCCACTTGAGCATCCTATCGGAACCACAAGGCAATAGGTTGAAGATCATGGTCACGGGCAATACTCACATCATGGCAGCCGAAATGGCACTTCCGCTACTCAATATGCTGGCTGAAACTATCATACAGCTTTCTGCTAACCTTCAAGCACCTCTTGGTTCATATAAGCCATCCCTGCCAGCATCCATTTCAAATGGCAGATAATGCACTTGGCGAGATGTGTCATGCACCGACTCAATCGCATGTCGCATGTTAGCGCGCACTCTTTTTGTTCCAAACATATTTCTTATGTATTAACGTTTGTTCCATATTGGCTTCGATTTTGTCTCTCCCCTTAGGATAACCATTTGTCTCTTACGGAATCGTGAGCGAGAGGAAGTAGTTTTAGTTCAGTATTAAAGTAAAGCAATGGCGAAGACTATTGGGACCACACGTGCCATTCAACCCAGACAGTAAACTAGCAATGTAGACATCCCGGCATGGGTCAGGACGATGACTCAATAGAATCAATGTTGTCGCACAACAGCATGTTACTACGAACATCAGTATTCCACATCTTCTACCATCACATCGCCATAGCTAAACAGTAGGGCGAAATCACTCCGTAACAGGCACTTTAGTTTTGAGCATATGTGGCCGACAAAACAAGACCGAGTGTCTTATCCTGGCATGAAATCTGCTCAGAAGACTAGGATCCAGCTTTTTCAGTCTATGCAGCGTTGTTACATGTACATGCATTATGACTAGTCCCTCTCAACTCCCAAAACGCGCTGTAGCCTGTTAGTCAAGCCCTAATCGTGCAGCGCACTAACGCTTTCCACGCTCTAGCTACTGTTTCACAGCCTTCTGAAAGCTATCTTCCCCGCGTTATCCCTTCTTTGAAGGTCTGAGTTCACTTCCACTTACCTTACGTACGTTGTATCGTTTCCACATATGCTCTTTTGAGTGGCCTGTAGTCCAATCGTGCAACTGCACAGCCAAGTGCATGATCACTTCAACAGCCTTTTTAAGAGCCTTAATAGCAGGAGCAAGAGAGAAGCTCTTGTGTTTTCAAGTGATCAAAGATACCCGTTGATTAAGTTTCTAGCTTGTGAGTGTTTCTTAGTGTTCAAGTCTGTTCCCAACTCATATGCATTATTATGTACTCTTAGATATTAAAATATTAGATGTCTTTAGAAAGAGTTTTAAATATGTAAGTTAAGTCGCTTATGAAACGTGCTTAGTAAAAAGCGTATAAAATAGTGTTAAATATAAAGAAACTGTCTGTACGCAGCAGCAGCGTTACAGTCTAGATACTAGTTATTGCGCACAAGAAGGATCACGTAGCTATGTCACATGATGCTCGTGCGCGAACCTCTGTGCCTGAACATCTAGATATTCCCCTTTTCCTCTGTACAGAGGAAAAGACAGAGCAATAGAACTAGAAACATGTTGCCTCTACCCTACCTACTTTGTACGCTGTGCACACTGTACACTACTCTTACTCTTACTACTTAAGTGCTTATACTATAAGCAGCTAGCTAAAAAAGCCTATTTAACACTAATTAGTAGTTAATTTAATTAACTATAAATTAGTAAGAGTAATAATAGAGTACTTACACTTTATAAAGTACTTTATTTTATTACCTATTTTTAGAGATAATGTACTTCACAGGCGAGTTGCTTACATACCTAAGTTACTTACTTTTGCTAAGACCCTACTAAACTACTCTTTCTACACTAATGCATTCCTAACAACACTACTTAGACGCACTAAAAGAACATTAGATACAGCTTACACTTTAAGCTTTTAAATAAAACATAAAACTCTTAAAGAAACATGCTATAGCTATGTATAAAGTCTTTTAAAAAATAATAAATAACTATAGCACTAGATAACCTTTACAAGCTAATTCTATAGCTAACTTACAAAGGCTAGGTAATAATAAAAAGAAGGTAATTATTAAGACTATACTTAAGCTATATATGCAAGGATTTTCCTTTTAGATAGCATTTATAGCTAATATAGCTAATTCTTTACACGCTAAGCATAATCTAGGCTATATTAGCATAAACTAGCCTAGTATGTTTAGGAAGCGTTATTTAAAGCTTAAAGTAACATTTAAGTATAGTATAACTATAAAAGAGCTTTTTATAAGAGTTCTAAAGTAATTTAGAGCAGGTTTAGCCTTATAGAGAATATTAAAGCTAAGTATAGTATCTAGAATAATAACATATACAACTTTAGTAAAATAAGCTTTATTATAAGCTAAATATCTATTAACTATACTTACACTTAAAACTATACTTACACTTAAAACTTTACTTTAAGCTTTAAATAATGCTTTATAAACATACTAAGCTAGTTTATGCTAACATAGCCTAGATTACGCTTAGCGCGTAAAAAATTAGCTATATTAGCTATAAATGCTATCTAAGAGGAAAATCCTTGTGTATATAGCTTAAGTATAGTCTTAATAATTACCTTCTTCTTATTATTACCTAGCCTTTATAAGTTAGCTGTAGAATTAGCTTATAAAAGTTGTTTAGCGCTATAGTTATTTATTATCTTTTAAGAGACTTTATACATAGCTATAGCATGTTTTTTTAAGAGTTTTATGTTTTATTTAAAAGCTTAAAGTGTAAGCTGTATCTAACATTCTTTTAGTATGTTTAAGCAGTGTTATTAGAAATACATTAGTATAGAAAGAGTAGTTTAGTAGGGTCTTAGCAAAAGTAAGTAACTTAGGTGTGTAAGCAACTTGCCTGTGAAGTACGTTAAATGTGCATCTACTGTTTATTAACACAACTTTTTTTCTTCTATTAAGAGTAAATTTTATAGTATAGCTTTTACTAATTCTTTGTTTTACTACTACTAGGACTTTTGTTGAATGGGCTCTGACAGCTAGCTGCTTATGGTATAAGCACTTAAGTAGCAAGAGTAAGAGTGGTGTACAGTGTGCACAGCGTACAAGGTAGGTAAGGTGAGGGCAACATGTTTCTAGTTCTATTGCTCTTGTCTTTCCTCTGTACAGAGGAAAAGGGGGATATCTAGATGTTCGCGCACAGAGGTTTGCGCACGAGCATCATGTGACATAGATACGTGATCCTGCTCGTGCGCGATCGTTTGTATCCAGGCCGCGACGCTGCTGCTACGTACAGACACTAGCAACTTTTCTTTTTATCTAAAGAGTTGCCTTCTGTACACATTACCTCCCTTCTGCCTGTGTAGGTCTATCTAATTACATTCTGCCTTTACTCCACCCTATTTATTAGGACTTGCCTTAGTGATGCTGTACGTTAAGATAAGCTAGTTGCGCTATGTAGATAGCTCTATAAATAGTGTAGAGTGTTTTAGGCTATTATTGTCTAGCCTTTGTGCGCTTGCCTTATAAGTAATTTAGCAGTGTACAAACTGTTTTGTGCAGGGTTTTGTGCTAGAATAGTGTGGGATCTTTGCGTAGGCAGGTGCGTAGGGAGGTGTATATAATAAGGTCTCCCCTTCTCCTTTACCTTCTCTTCTTTATCCTTTACTCTCTAAGCCCTACTGTACTATTCCCTAACTCTTTTCTCTTTTTGTACAGTGCTAACAGTGACAGATACTCCCGCCTGCACACACACACACACACACACACACACATAGAGAGAGAGAGAGAGAGATGTCTCTCCAGCCTTTCTCCTCTACCTCCAGCGCTGTCAGTGCGGGCGTCTTCGACGTCCTTGTGCAGTCTGGCGGCCTAGGGCGCATCTGCGTCACCCTCCTAACTAGTTCTGCTGCTAATTAGCAGTTTATTTAGCGTCTTAGCATAAATATATAGATCCTTTAGCTCTTTTACTTTCTTTTTATATAAAATGCTAATTATAGACAGGCTAAAAAGCAGCATGTAGCAGCTTTACTATCTTATAATATTAATGTTGTCTTGCCTGCTAGCACTAATCTGCAGCTGTGGGCAGCAAAAGTTGTGCGTTGTAAGAGGTACTTCTGTGCAGTCCTAGTCTAGAGTCGCGGTTAGGTCCTAGCAACTCTATGTGCTTATTGTTGCAGCAGCACTACTAGTGCCTCTTCTTTTATTAAGTGTTGTGTGTTAGCTAACTTCTAGGCTAATGCCTGCGCCTTATGCGTATAGCAGAGCTGTGGTCTGCATTGTGACTACTATACATAAGGGGTGGTGGCTTTTTCTTCTCCTGTATACTAGACAAATAGACTATCTTTCTTACATATCCTTCTTTTCTAATCTTGTAATAAGAAAAATAAGTGCGTATAATAAAAAAAACAAAAGAGATAGGCTTTATATAAAAGTGTTATTAGTCTAGTTAGTCTAGGGCATCTTTGCGCACAGGGTCTAGCTAGTCCACAGATGCTTCTATCTAGACAGAGAGGCAGTTAGTTAGGACTAATAATTAAAAAGCCTAGTTTAGTATTTTCTTTATACATGCATCTACTAGGTTGTTTTTACTATTAATTTACCTAATCTTAGCAATTTCCCTCTTCTTGTATAATTTACAGAGTAACATAATGTTAATTATAAGTTACTTTTTGCTAGTAGTGCCTAGCTTAATAAGGCAATTATACAGAGACCTTAAATCTGTGCAGATTACTACTAGGATTAGTAGCAGTTTAAGCGTTTATATAATTTACTGTAGAGTTGTACTAAAGGTAATTACATTATTAAACTTTTTAACTATTCTGTACAGTTTACTAGCAAGAACACTCCTAGTTACTCTTTTACACTTAGTAGAATTCTAGTGTATAATGTTGCCTAGTATTTTAAAGTAGTTGCTTTACTCTGTACAGTTCTTATTGCCTAATATAATTAAGAATCCTAGCTGTAAGCTAAGGTCCCTGTTATTAGTAAATAATCTATCTGTAAAGATAAATAGCTTTGCATAATTAAGCTGCAATAGTAGGAAGGTAAGACTACGCTTACTATTATCTATCTGCTATTAGATTTATGCGTTAAGTGTGTTAATATTATTATGCAAAGGGTCTGTAGTTTGTATAGTAATAAATAAGTTAAATGCTGCCTCTAGTTAACATATAGATGCAATGTATGCCCCTTTTACATGTTACTTAACATATTATTATGCAGCATTTTTATTCTCTAGGTTAATTATATAAAGGTAGCTTACTTATCCCTTTTAAGTAAGAACTACTGTGTTATGCGTAAGTTTAATTTTTTTGCTATTAAACTTAATAGGCTGCTTTTTTACTAGAATAGTCTTACCTTTTATGTAGAACTTTACCTTTTATAGTTTCTTCTCTTCTTTTTACATAAAATCTTTTATTATAATGCTTAAAGTATTGTCTATCTATAGGCTAGTAATACTAAAAGTGTGCTCTCCTTTATTAGTAATTAAAAGGCAGAGGTTGTATAAAAAGATGTGCATGCGCAGCTTTTTTTTATAGTAGTTATAATATGTCTTAAACTAATATAGTCCTAATTTAGCAGCTCTATATAAGAGTTGTACAACCTAAAGTATTGTATTTAGTAGAAAGCTCTAGCGCATCTCCTTTAGTAGCTTTATGTACAGCGTGCGCATAAGCTTATCTGTTAATTAGATGTATGCTTATGTAATATTGCGCAGTTTAAAATGCATTCTGTACGTAGCTCTTAGGCTCACTCCTATAGCTAAGAGTAGTCTTTAGCTTATCCTCTAGATAGTTAGTAACTAGGTAAGGATTTCTCCCTTTTCTTTGTCTAAGTAGCTAGCAAACACTAGGCAGAATTTTTTATATAGTTAGGTTGTTTTACCTTTTACTTTTTATATAAAGTAGAGGTTAAAAATCTAACCTTTATACTTTATTAAGTTATACACTATAACTTTAAAAGTGCTGTTAGTAATTAGAGTGTCTATCTCTGTGCAGTCTAATTCCTTAAATAGCTTTCTAAGTGTAGTAATTACACTGTCTGTACAGAGCTTAATAGACAAGGCCTAATTATTCTTCTTCTTCTAGGTTAGGAATACCTAGTCTAGACTTTATGCAGGTTTTCTTTGCTTTTTACTTC